AAAAAAAAAAAAAAAGATTAATTTGGAATGATGTTCATCACTGCATTATTTATAACAGGAAAAAAATTGGAATTGATTTAAACATACAATAGGAAATATTTAAAAGAATTATAGTACTTCATAATATTAGCTATTCATTTATAATAATAATCACACCTAACATTTAAAACTTGGAATAGCATAGTTTAGAAAAAATGACATTTTTATAATATTAATATGAAAGAGTGGGATACAAATCTATATACAAAATATGGACCTAATATATAATATAAGAAACTATCTCTGGATTATAATTTTTTTTCTTACATTTTTCTCCATTTCTAAAGGTTTTTATTTAAGGAAAACATACGCTTTTTATAATTAAAAAAAACAGGTTAACATCTTTAAAAATCAAGTTACTTTTCCCCTCACTACAAAGAATGGTTGATTTCCTAAACCCATGTTCATTATGATTTCTGTAGAAACAAGAGTGAGTATCTAGACATTAGGTAAACCATCTAGAAAACCCAAGCTGATGTCATTAAAATTTGGGAAATCTGAAACTTACAATAAATTCCGCCCTCCATCACTTCTATAACAGGTTTGCCAATTAATTCAATATTATTCTGCATAAAGCTCAATAATTAAACAGAAAAGTATTATCTCTTTAATTTTGAAACTGAAATTGCAGATTATTGCAGCCCCAAACTCCAGCTGGTCCAAAGGTTCACTATGTTCAAATGAATAAATCATTATAAAAGCCAACCTATATATATATATATATACATGAAGAGGAAAGTTTTTCCTTTTTTCTTTTTTTTTTTAATAACTGAATTGATAACTCTTTGATTTTGGTGGGATCACCAGTAGGATAGCCTTAGCCTCCTGAGTACTGACTTTAGATCAGGCTAATCCCAAAGTTGTGTCTAGAACCACAGTATCCAAATGGTTGTGGTAAATTTATACTCTTCTGAATGAGTGGGTGAAATACAGGATCCTGAGTTTCTAGACCAGTGCTCTCCAAAGGATTTTGATTTGGTACCTTTATCAGGGTTTTAAATTGAACATGCTTGCCCCCATATTTTATATATGTGCTGTCTGTTACTACCTAATACTCCAAGGTACAATATGGACAAAGTTTATTGTTATTAATGATGGGTATATATCTATGATTCAAATAGCCTTTCTGATTGGTTGAGTTTCTGATACCATGTTATCAAATTATTGCTTTTACCATCTTTGTGACTGCTGAAGTCTTCATTACACTCATAGAGAAGTAGCATCTATGCCTCTTTGGGATTTCCATATCTGCCTGCATTATTAGAACACTCTTCACACCATATTTTCTCTGGAGGAATCGTTTTAAGCCATTTGTCCATCGTTGAGGATTAGAAACTAGATAATATCAGATATTATTCCATTTAACCAGTCACTAGTAAACAACATGTGGCACAAAACACTGACAATAAATTGAGTGAAAAGACTCTTGGCAATGCCCCTGTAGTTTTCTACTCTGAATTACTCAGTTAACAGTGTGTAGAAGTTCAAATCCTTTTAACCGCTATTACAAACCCAAATCTTATGTAACTTAACACAGAAGTCCAAAAACGGTTATTCAGGAGCAGCTTTCCTCCAAGAAGTGATTTAGGGACCAGGTCCCTTCTGTTTTATGCCTTTGTTATCTCCAGCATGTGCTTCCCAAGGTCTCTTGTTCATCTCCAAGCTATGAAGACCATGCATAGGAGGTATAAGACAGGTTAGGAATGATGTACATCACTCACTTCCATATTCTGTTGCCCAGAACTCAGTCAAATGGCCACACCCAACTACAAGAATCTCTGCAATGTAGTCAGCTTTGTGCCAGAGGAAAAAAGAGGTTTGGAGAAGAGCAAGCCTGCAAACAACTAGTCCCATAATAGGCAGACTGAATGATGGCATTGATGTCAATCTGCCTATTAAATATCATCCATGCTTAATCTGTGTCTCTTAAAATAATCATACTCATAAAGGTTTTGCTTCAGTTTTTTAATGTTTGCAATACACTAGTCAATAAAAAGATGTCAATTAAAAAAATGGATGTCTACCTTTTTCTCTTCTGCTTCCCGCAGAAGCGCCCCTTCTGCTAACATTTTTGACTATAAACTTGATAATGAGTTCTAAAAACTAAGGAAACCTATAATTAGTATCCAGTCAGAAAAATCCACATGGGGATCAAGCTATCATAAATCAGTGATTCCCAATCTAGGGTTTATGGACTACCAAAGACCTCTGGGTTAGTATGTATCAGAGATCATACCATTGATATTGTAGGCAAAATTATGTGCATATGACTTGTGCGTACGTGTGTGTGTGTGTGTTCATGTTTGCAGAGAGGATCAATATACATCATCAGAATGTGGGAAGGAGGTGTGATAAAAAAAATAGTATGATATTTAAAACAGCAATTAAGGGGCACCTGGATGGCTCAGTCATTAAGCGTCTGCCTTCGGCTCAGGTCATGATCCCAGGGTCCTGGGATCGAGGCCAACATCGGGCTCCTTGCTCAGCTGGAAGCCTGCTTCTTCCTCTCTCACTCCCCCTGTTTGTGTTCCCTCTCTCACTGTCTCTCTCTCTCTGTCAAATAAATAAATAAAATCTTAAAAAAGAAAATAAAAATAAATAAAACAGCAATTAAGAGGTAAACTTTTCTCAAACTGATTAACAAACATAAATCCATAAATCTATTCTCCAAACCCTATCAGAAGTCATTATACATACATGCTTTAATAATATGTTGCTACAGAACTCTTCTATTATTATCAATGAATAAAAAAACCAATTACCTCATATATGATAGGATGGAGATCACTATAAAAGAAAGTATGGCCATATGGTTAGATTCAATGTTTCTCACACTGACAAATATGAGGAACTGAAGGATTTATTGGTGTTATTCACATAGGCATATGGCAATTGGAAAGGTCA